ATTCAATTGAACATTATTCAATGAAATTTTCAATTTTGATTAGATTTATGTGTATGCATCTTTTGGTGCATTATATTTGATAATATGACGGCCAAATATTAAAGATATGGACACAGTGACATTACTTTTGGATCAACCCTCGTAATTTATAGTACTCTAAAAAAACAAGGAAATTCTTTATTTTTGGCATTTTGAGATGCCCCCTCTGAAAACAATGCGTTAAAATTTATTGGGATTTTCATATAATGTACAATATAGTATAACTCATCATATTTTTAAGGAATGACTCTAATTTATGGCCAAATTATGGAGTATATTCTGGTTTGGGTCAGTTTACGCGTAATACGCGAAGATGATTATAAAAGAGCGAAAACTGACCCAAACCAGGTTATACTTCATAATTTGGCCAAGAATTAGAGTCATTCTTTACAATTTAATTTTAAAATAACTAAACAACTGTTGATGTAAAACTGTGTTGCTTTTTATAAGTTCAAATTTGCCGCTCAATAATACAACCGTAGTAACAGAAGTGATGAGAAGCGAGGGGAGGTAATAACTTATACACAGACCTAGCAGCCATGATGTTTTTTTTTTTACATGAGGTAAGATCAAGCTGCTGTTTGAAGTTAAAGCCGTTCATTTATTAAATCTGAAATTTTCTATGAATCCCGAGGAATTGAAATGAGGGGATTGATGGAAACCAATGATTCAGCTGGTTGTCAAGGGAGTGTGTCCCCATACCAAACCAGATTATATTGAATAATTTGCGTGCCTTTTTGGAAATCAACCAATGAGAGGCAAGAATACAAAAAAATTAAATTATTATAGTTTAAGCAAAAAGTCTATTGTAAATTCATATTATTCGCTTTAAAGTGCGAAAATTGGCACTTTCCCATATAATCCTATAGTAAATGTACCTGTTTTTTTAGACGGCTCCTTAAAATACGTGGGTGGTAAATTTTTAAAGATCAACTTACTAGGACAGACAGATAGACAAAGGGATCGACAGACGAGAAGGAATTGACTTATGATTATATATATATATATAACTGGTGGAAAAAAACTCAAAACTGCTTAAAGAAAATTTTGCAGTACTTGGATATTGTAAACGAATACACACATATCCTTAAATAAGGCATTTATAATAGAGTTACGGATAAATGTTACTTAATTACCGTTGAGGCATCCCTTTGCAATGTCACATTCTTCAATATCACATTCGCATGTGTAGTAGCACAGCATACCAAACTTAGGCCTTATGCATGCCTTGGAACAATTTTGGCCATACGAACCCAATGGACACTCTGATATAAGAGTGTTAAAAGAAATATTACAAAGCACAAATATTGGGCGAAACTATCGTAAAGGTATTCAATTGTTAAACTAGATACTGAGAAGGTACGCCTTTACAAATGTAGATTTCACAAAATCGGAATTCCATATGTATAAAATACATGGTTACTGTCTTGAAATATGTGATATAAGCGATTAGCGAGGGTAAGAAAACATGATAGAGGGCGAGACTTGCAGAACTCTTTCACGTTTTCGACCCAAACCCAAATATCGCTTATATTTCAAAACAGTTATCATGTATTTTGTTTATTCTGCAACAATATTTATACATTTGAACGTCCAAAAAAATCTATTTTTGACAGATTTAGGCACATCTCTGCAGTTGAAACTATGACACCATGGCGATAACATTACAATATACGTGACGTCACAATGCATTGATAAAATCGGAATACATGCACGAGGCTTTATAAGGGCATTGACCGAATAAAGCTTTGGTTTATTAGGTTACCTTTATTAGGTCAATGCAAGGGGTAGTTGCAGGATAAAGTAAATTATTCGCAAAGACATTGAGGGTCAGTATCTTTTATTTGCTCTTTCAGCAAATTTAAACATTTTCTTTGCTTATATTCCCCATAACATCTGTTGAATCTTTTAATAACATATACTTTGCAAAATATTTGCATATTTAAATCATGCATTAAAGAATTTCAACATAGCTAGTTAATCAATTTTCGTCCTGTGGAATTTCCCCCCTATCTTCTCTATTTATTTAACACCTCTAACTTAAAAGTATTGGTAAACAGATGCATCAGATACTTTTAAAAATCAACAAACATGAGAAAACATGCTCTTTTAAGTGTTGGATAAATATCTAACCATAATCAAAAAATCAAAATATTCACCATATTTTAAAGACATAAAATATTTTCAATATGAGATACATATCAAGCCTTAATTTAATTAAAGAGAAAATAATCAAGTATTTGACATTTACATTTTAAAAGTACCTTATAGATACAAAATGTAATTGTTTACCTATACAATCATTCTTCACTCTATCGTAATAGTAATTATCACAGCAGTAATCCAAACCTCCAATTCTGCTGAAAAGTTTAAAAAGTTTGCAATTTGAAATATTCTAGCAATTGAATTTAAATAAATTTCAGAGCTACTCACGTGCCGCAGAATGGAGCACTGGTCAGCAATTCGAGGCTCAGAACAATAAGTATATGAAGGCAAATATTGATTTTTAAATGAACGAAATGCATCTTCTTTAGTGAATGAATAGGGGACGATATTTGGTTTCCAAAGTTTTTTCTTGCTGAATGGAGAAAACACGGAAACATATATGTAAATATTAATTCCAGTATAAAACGTCAACATTCACAGGCAAGTGCATTCTATATAAAATCCCAATTGATTCATTTGACAAAAAAGTTAAAGGTTACTTTGTAAAGACAATAAAACAATTTAAGACACGTGCTCGAAATAAAACAAGTATGTCACAAAAGATAACTTTTTTTTAAAATCTCGATATTGTTTGTCATCCTTAACTAAATTATTCTAGAAACTTTTCTTCTAAATTATTAATTCTTTTTTTGGTTCTAAATGAATTTTTTTATGCTTTATTCCCCTCGTATATTCTCCTTTTATTAGCAAACTATGGCTCAGAATAAAACATTAAACATACATTGCATCTGTTTCATATTTGGATGTTTGACCGCATATGGACGATAAGGATCAACTAATTTATAAATATATGGCAAAGGAGTCGATTTCAGCCTTTCGAAGTCAATTTTCCCTACAAATATTGAGATATCCGCAAAAAAAAAACAAAAAAAAAAAACAGTATTTGATGCTATGTCCAATAGTTTTTATATTCTCAACTTTTCAATCAAGGCAGGCAACTCAAAGAAATGTTGATTGCGCAGGTTTTCCACATCCTCGTTAAAGGTGCTTGGACACAGATTTGAAGTTAATTTTTTTCCTCTATAATATAACGAATTATATATTTTAATAGCATTACACACAAAAATTAATTAAAAATCTTATTTCATTTAAAAGTTATTAAAATTTCAAATTTTTTGGCAGGTTTGATTGACACATCCTTGCACTTTTACAAATTTTAATTTTACTCTAAATACTTATGAAAAGTGGCAATCGTGTTGTGTATGAATAAAAAATATTAATACTATAATCCAGAAAATTCAGAGTAGACATGTTCGAAAGCAAAACAAACACACAATATATTCTCAGTCCGTGCAGTTGTGGTGAGCAGACTTTGACAATTGAACGCACTCGGTGAAATCAAAACATCAACAAAAACAGAGCTGCTGCCTTGTTTACAAAAACTGTGTACATAACACGAGTGTGATCGATTTGCACACACGACTTAGCTCGGAATGACGATACTTGTGAAGGCGTTTTGCTTTCTAACATTTCGACTCCGAATAAAATCATTTTTCTGGATTAACGTTTTAATATGTCTCATTAAAACACAACAAGATTGCCATTTTTCTGAAGGATTAAGAATAAAATTAAAATATGTGAAAGTGCAAGGATGTGTCAATCAAACCCGCCAAAAAATTTGAAGTTTTGATAACTTTTGAATGAAATAAGGTTTTTAGTTAATTTTTGTGTGAAATGCTAATAAAATATAATTCGTCATATTACTGTGTAGTATACAGAAAATATTAACTTCAAATCTGTGTCCAAGTACCATTAAAGCCATAATTTTTGCATAACTTATAAGGTCGTTATGTTAACATTGTTAGCAAATGTATCATATTCGACGTGTATACGGTATATTCCAGTGAGCTAGAGATTAAAAATATCGCTGATTCTGATACAACTGTATCATATTTGAAAATTCTACTTAGATTAAGACGTAAATAGTAACCTAACAAACAAGCTTAAAACGTGATCATTTTAACTTTTCAATCATCAGCTTCCCATACTTATGCAGCAATATACCATTTTCGCCTGTATACTACAATATACTATGCAATTGATTCTATATACAAGAGCATGCTCCGTCTGTGAACAATTTTTAAAACAAATCTAAATATTGACAAACAAGTTGCTGAAACAAAATATCAGCAGTCTCGTTTAAAGTCATCAAATTTAATTTGTTGGTTTTATGAAAGATACAATGACATTGTAAGCAAATAAAGCAATCGGTAACTGCCGTTATCATACTTAAGTCGGCGCCATTATTGTCCATGGATTTTCCCGTTATTTTACTATCATGACAAGAAACACATTGCGGATCCATGCGATCAGTCGACAGGGGATGCTTTTCCTCCAGGGCACAAACTTTTACCTCTGATATTTTAGAGGTCAGTATTTGCTCTGCTCCTTAATTGGATTGTTTATTTGGACCAATTTTTGGTTCTTTATATCCATATATTTGAATTAATGTGTCGTTCGCTGATTGACGTATTGTATAGAAATTGTAAGGTCCTTTGTTTTAGACTATACATGAATGAAAAGAGAATATTGTGTCAACCTGAATATAACAGCGGGCCCATGGGTGCGTTGGTCCATGTTTTTGTCGTGTTACAAATGTTTATATTGCATGATTTCTTTTAAACCGATTGTTCTTCAATATCTTCATTAAGTTTTTTGTCGTAAAGTGCATATGCTTAGAAAGGAAAAAGAAAAAGTTTTTTTTATATAAAGTAAACAAGAAGCAATTTCAATGTTTAATTTTTCTTAATGATACCAATAAAATCATCATATTGAGCATGCGTCTTAATAGAATTATTATAAGTAATATTTTTAATTGGATGGGCTGTTAGTGTATCAAAAACGGGTTCCAGGTAGTTGTCTTCAGAGAGTTCTAGGTAACTATTGGTTTTGCTTGGCGAAATATTATGTGGAACACTAGTAAAATTATGCCAAGAATGTGACCGATGAATTGGAAACTTTTTAGAACCCAGTGAGGCTGGATCTATTACATTAACACATACTTCCCCATTTTTTCGTTCAGTGTGGAGATTATTATATTCTTTAATCTGTTTTTCCTTCAAGAGGAGGTCATAATTTTTTCCAGGAATACTTGTTACCTCTTCACTTTTTCCTGTATGCACTACGCATTCGTCTATTTCCATGTATGTTTCCTCATCCAAGTTCAATGTCTCGTTTCCGGATAATACTTGATCTTTATCGATCATGGGAACGGAAATATTATTTGATCGCTGTTTATATTTCATACCAATTAAAAAAACTATAATTAAAATTGCTGTGATAACAACGCCCACTGATATAACTAAATAAATGTATTGAAACTGTTGTTTTGATTTATCATCAGAAGGTCTGACCGTTTTGTCAATTTGATACGATATTGTACTACTTTCCCTTGTTGAAGACAATTCTTTTCCGTCTTCTAGTCTTACTATTGTGATTGACTCTGTAGGATGAAATGAACAAAAGTAAATCAATCTAAATACATGAAATGCTATACATGAATTTGATACACATCATATATGAAGTATTAATATATTTGATATTGTTTTCATTTCTTTGTAAGTATAACGTTTTAAGCGATAAAAAGATTATACTAAATATAATGTTTAGAATTTTTGATTATTTTTTAGGTTTTGAAATACTGCATATAATAAAGTAAGTGACTACCATTGATACAGCCGAACTTGATATGACACATACTAAGTGGACAGTAGCATTCATCGTAACACAGGTGCCCGTACTTTGGGGGAACACACACTTTGGAACAGTTGATGCCGTATGATCCCAAGGGACAAGCTTATTAAAAGACATATTTATATGTGTTCTGTCGCTTCAGAGATCTGATAAGTAAGACTGAATGGAAATATTTATACAACATTCTGTACATACCTAGACACTGTCTCTTGTTACTGTTATAGAAGTAATTCTCACAGCAGGGTCCTTTTCCTTTTCCACTACAACAAACGTTTAGAAAAAATTGCAATAATGACAACCCACTCTGATATAATGACAGAAATGTATTGAAACCGGTGTTTGGTTAATCACCAGGTCTGATCGTCTTGTCAATTTGATATGATATTGTACAACTTTCACTTGTTGATGACAATCTATGGTTCACACTTTTTAAATCAGGATATACTGAATCATTTTAATTCCAAGAAATAATTGTAAAAATAATGTATACAAACTTACTTGCCACAAAATTGTGAATTTATCCTTAAAATTAATATAATGATAGGCACGAAATTACTGTAGATAAAAGATCCATAACATAGGAGAAACATTGTGGATTCGATAAATATTTCCACGATAAGAAAATCCTGAAATTGAATTAAAATAACTTCCTCGTAAAACACTAGTTTAAAATATCTGTTTGAAAAAATTCAGTACAAAAGAGAAAGAAAGACGCAGAAAATAAGGTTTAGATCTGAATCAGTAACTAATTAAATGAAATATATTTAGATATAATATTCAAACTAAAAAGACCATTAAACAACACAAATTTGGAGCAGAGCAAATTCGGATTTCCGAAAAAAAAACCGAAGGAGTTATCAGGTGCCATTGAGGAGGAAGCATCCACTGCCGACCCGTCACATCAATCATGTGACCCTTGTCGATGTTGTATGAAAATGATGTATTTATTCTTTATTGAGAGTTTCTTAAAACCCAAGTACGGTCTTAATTCACATCAACTCATGACAAACGACAGTAAAACATATGGAGATAACGAACAGTATTCAAGATCAAAAGGTAATAAAACAATACAAAATATAAGCAGAGCAAGACCCGCCGTTTGCTCTTTGTCATAATCGGGAAATACCGGGAAAGTCCGTCGTCAATTTTGTGTATAAATAATGGACTAACAATTAGTATGAAAAATGCTAATCAGCATTTGACTCAATGATAAATCATTTGCTGACAAGGTCAGTGTGTTGACTATAGAACTTTCGAAATGATGACTTTAAACGACACTGCTGACATCCTTGTTTCATTAACTTGCTTATCAATAATTTACCTCGTTTTAAAAATTGTACATATGAGCTTGATCTTGCGTATCGAATCAACTGAGATATGTAAATGGTGTATGCAGGTGATGAAGATGTATTGCTGCAGAAGATTTATTGATTGCATATTGTTTAACGTCCCTTTCCAGATTTTTGACTCATATGAAGACGTCACCGTATATCAGTGAAGGGCTTCAAATTTAGACCTATGCTCGGCGCTCAGGGCCATTGAGCAGTAAGGGTTCTTTATCGTGCCAACGCCTACCGTGAAACGGGACCTTTGTTTTATAGTCATATCTGAAAGGCCCGTGACTTTCACTTCTAGAACCGAGAGCTTAGCGAAGGAACAATCACTGCCTATGTTTACGTTTAAGGTGTGACGCGGTGCCGCGAACGAGAATCGAAGTTGGGCCTCCCTATCAGAGAGCGAACGCTCTACCTCTAGGCTACTGTGACCGGTCTTATTGCATAAATACGGGAAGCTGATGATAGAAAAGTTAACTTCATCAGGTTTATCCTAGAGTTTGGTTGTAAGATTACCATTAACGTCTTTTTTAAGTAAAATATCCAAATATGTAACAGATGTCTCAGACTCTGTGGTATCTTTTATAGGGAATAAGAATCTAGCTTAGATATAATTGTTGATTACACATTGCAATGAAATTTTGTGCAACAAAAAAGTCATTTTAGAAAGCCAATGTCAGTTTTGTCTTTATCATATCAAAACCGCGCTAAGATCTTCTTATTTTTACTGAGGATAGGATAAGTTTTCCCCTTAGACTATGAATTACTAACTGTTAAGTGACCCAATAAGGACAAAAGGGTTGAAAAGGCATAAAGATTTGCTCTAGTGTCAGAATGGAAAATGATGCGAGATCTGTTTCCACGGGGTAACTATTGTCAAAACAAGCTGTGCGTGATACCCAAGCATGTGATAGTGAGTCTCACTCTTTAAACCAGGAGAAATTCATTGTCAATTGCAGTGAAGTATATAGAGATAACGAATTGAGTTAAAGCTCAAAAGTTCAATCAAGCAGTACAAATTAGAAGCAGTGGAGCAAACACGGACCTGTAAAACATCAGAAGTGGGATCAGGTGTCATGAAGCTGTACAACTGCCGTAGTCACCTGGTTAAGATTGGGTAATGATGAAAAAAAATGTAATGAAGGGAAAATATGTATGAATTGATAATATTCATTCTTTTAAAGCATTTTAAACCTCTACAAAATATATCTTTTACTTTGGTAAACAATTTCCAAAAATCTTTAATGAGAGAGAGAGAGAGAGAGAGAGAGAGAGAGAGAGAGAGAGAGAGAGAGAGAGAGATTAAAATTCTACAATAACGCTAATTCAAACCAATAACAATTCAATGCTGTACCAGTTATTTTTAATTTATTTTATTTTGCAGTATAGACTTATTGTTTACAAATTCAATCAGGCAGAACTGTCAGATACACATTTACGCATTCGTCGTTTATTGTACTGTTCACTTCAGCGTTGTCTAAATAGTTCTCACAAGGGGAAGTATGTGGAGATGTGTAAGGACTAGAACATAATTCATCCCCAACGTCGCTCATTACACAAGCCCCCGAGTTTGGTAACATATATCCATCATTATCTGGCGAGGAATTCTTTGTTCTTAAAACCAATTTGTCATGTTGTGCAAGCGTTTTTTGTCTTGAAGATGTGTGAATAGACGTCGTCTTACAAATAGGAAGATTCGTGGACGGTGATTGTTTTCCATCGTTAATCTCGGAATATTCATTGGTGCTCTTTAGTTGGTATGTTGCGTTTTCTTTTACATTACTCTGAACTACATCAACGAGTTCCAGACTCCGATCCTGTTGGCTTTTCTTTGAAGGTCTGTTATGATCTAAAGGATCATATCCTATGTTTCCATCTGTACCCAAGTTATGAATCTCTTGGTAGGTATCACTAACTTCGACACTCACATTATGTGGTATTGTTCTCTTTCGTCGTTTCGAACACCTCTCATGTATATTTAAGCTGACATAAATGGTAAAGATGATGAGGAAAAGCGAAGAAACGCCAAAGATTCCCAATAAAATAGGATAATAAGAGTCGAAAAACGAAGGTTTTGAAGTCGTTGAAGTTAAGGATGAAGTAAATGTTGATAGTGGGAGAGAAGTAGACTTCTGAGCTTCGGTGGTGTTGAATTTGCTTGAAAGAACCTTTGACGTGTTGGGGACAGTCTTTGTTTGTTTTGGATCTGTAGACAAACTTTCTCCTTGTGTCGTTAATACTGTAGTTACCTGTGTTGATACTGTTGACTCTAAAACATAAAGGAAAACGCTTGATGACTTCCTCATGTTTTATATTTTAACCAAAATAGTAACAATTTACGAAGATGTGTTAATTGAAATAATTAAACATCTAAATAAAATATGTTCTTTTTTATTTCTTGTATCATCATTTGATATTTATCCTTAAATTTGTTTCACGTGGTACACTGATTACAATCCATATTAAATCAAGTTAAGAAATCTTTGCTAGTTTTTTGCTAATTAGTCTTGTACCTGTGGATATTGGACAACCTGTGGAAACGTCACAAAGGCTCTCATTACATCCCACACATTGATTTTGGCACCCATAGCCATAAAAGGGCTTAACACATGATTTTGAACAATTAAATCCGTAATAACCAGGTTTACATGCTGTAAAAATTAGAAAACATACTTTATTTTCAAATGAAAATTTTACAAAACGTGTACTAATAAAAGGCTTTTTTGAGTATTCAAACTCAGAAAGGTTATTAATGAGTTGAAATCAGGAGCAAAGGAAACACGGATATCTTTCACATCAGAGGTGTGATCAGGTAATATGGAGGAGTGAGCTTCAAGATAAAGAACTGTTAACAGTCTCAAAAGCAATCTACAATCATTACAGCTTCAGGTACATGTAAATAAACAAGACATAAAACAGGAACCATTGGAAATTGGATAAGGTTTTTATCAGAGGAAAAGATATGATGTTTAATTGTTACCTACCGACACAAACGCCAAATTCTTCATTCCATTCAAACTCTGCAGGGCATACATGTACCTCTTCCCTGTCAATTTTAGAAATTTGGTAATATCAAACAGTAATCAAGCTCAGATGTCTATTGAAACAACCCAGATTGAAAGCAGAGCAAACACGGACCTCATCTGAGGTGGGATCATTCCCTGTCGACTGGTGGCCCTCTTGTGCTCCTTGTCAAGACCAAGCAAACGCAAAATCCGTAGAAAATAAAGTGTGTATATAAAGGTCTTACGATTACATGTAGTAAGAAAGAATGTTAGTAAGCTTTTGAATAATTGATAAATTGTATTGCTAAAATGCCGATTTTCAACAAGACTATAGATCTTGTTATGCGCCCGGATCGAAAGATCCGAGGCGTATATTGTTTTTGTCCTGTCTGTCTGTCTGTCTGTTTGTCTGTTCGTCTGCAAACTTTAACCTTCGCTATAACTTTTGAACCCTGAATGGTTGAAACTTCATAATAAGTATGCATACTTCACTAAGTAAGCTCTTTCAAATGACACCAAGGTCAATGATCTTGTGACCTTGACTGTGACCTATATGCTAAAAATAGTTTTTTTTCTGCAAACTTTAAAATCTGCAAACCAAAAAAGATAGAGACTTCATATTTGGTATGAATACTCCACAAATTAAGCACTTTCAAATGATTCCAAGGTCAATGACCTTGTGACCTTGACTGTGTCATTTATGCTAAATATAGCTTTTTTGAACATTCATCATAACTTTTGAACCATAAAAGATAGAGACTTCATATTTGGTATGCATACTCCACAAATTAAGCACTTTCAAATGACTCCAAGGTCAACGACCTTGTGAGCTTGACTGTGTCCTACATGCTAAAAATAGCTTTTTTTTGAACAATCATCATAACTTTTGAACAAAGAAAGATAGAGACTTCTCATTTGGTATGCATACTGCACTAATTAAGATCTTTCAAATGATACCAAGATCAATGACCTTGTGACCTTGACTGTGACCTATATGCTAAAAATATGTTTTTTAACTTTGTTGCCGCCGGGCGCATAGTGTTTCACAAACACATCTTGTTTCTAGACTGTAATTGAAATTTTCCGGTGAGCACTGACTTTCACAGTTAACGGCTTACTTTTACACCAGGACAGTGTAAAGAAGCTTATACAATATAAATATATATAGCCCCCCAAAAATATAACTGCTTATTTCAATGCACAGATAGGTCGCCTTTGAAAATAAACGACAACCATCCTACCCTTAACTTCCTGCCACCACATTTCAGTAATTAACACCATACCTATGGCCACTAGAAAGGTTCTCTTAAACTTAATTATCTATTATAAATTCTGTACCCCCGTACATGATACAGGATGCAATGTCCAAGTTAACCGTCATCTGTAATGTTCAGTGCTTCTCGCAAAAGTTCAATATATTGCTTTTTTCAAAAACAAATTGTTCAAACGTAGAACATGCTTCAGTAAGAATATGAGTGATATTTATAATAATTCTATATATGAAAATGATTAAATGTAGAATACATTCATTCCAAAAGAAAAAAAAAGTTTTTCAAGAAAAATAAATTCGGCTTTTACGTTCTGAAGAAAAATCAAACATTGGTTAAAAAGCTTCGAAATAAGAAAACTATTAGAACTTACCTTTTCATTCTCTCTGGCATTTCGAAGATAGCTTAAAAAACTGAAATATGAATTCTAAAACTGAAATATGGACAAACAATTTCTTTTATCATATCAAGAGAGGTAGAAACAGCAAACAATTTCACTGTAAACGCAACCCAAATCCTTTCAAAAAGAAACTGATATATATTTTAAAAGAAAACAAAAACACTTTGGGAAATAATGCGAGAGGAAAACAGACTTACTCTAGCTGATGTTAGCTTTCGATAGGAAACGGAAACAAAGTGTTAACTCTGAATGTAAAGCTGTCGATCCATTGTACAAGGAAATTAAGTTGAAAACATGAACTGTAATGCAAATGCTTATAGGAGAAATAGTTTATAGTTACAATATGTATTCCTTGTACCTTCGTACCTTTTGGGCATATCAGAGTGTAATACAAACACCTCAACAAGAGGTTGACTGTGAATGCTGCTTAAGTAGCTAGAAAGAAATGGCCACGTAATGTACAACAATGTTATACATATTTTGGGACAATGATGTCATAAATATTTTGGGAAAATCTCAAGTTTCCGTTTTGTTTGTGCTCGAGAGTCGCGAAGTAAGGAGCTGTGGGACGTGGAGACCAGTACGTCCTTCGGTTGAGACCTTATAAACCGAGGTGCCACGTTGCAGTTGGTGCCTGCACAAAAAGAACACTCACTGCTCAATAATCTCAGTGCCAAGTATAGGACAAAATTCACAACTCTCCACCGGCAAGTGGTGGCATCTCCACTTGAGTCGTGACATGACTGAAAAATTCTCGAGAGAGACATTAAAAACATACAATTAATTAATTTCTTTTTTTCTAAGTTTCACCCCACCAGAGGTTGTATCTTGGCCTTCATTAATCTTCTACAAGAGTGGGGGAGTAACTAAACAAATTTATATCAACATTTTCTAAAATCATTCGCACCAAAATTGACCTTTCCGGTGGGTGTGACGTGTCGACAGCGAATGCTTTCCCCTCCATGGCACCTGATCCAACCTCTGATGTTTCCAAGGTCCGCGTTTGCTTTGTTTACATTGTATTTATATCGTTAAATGGGGTTTTGAGATTGAATATTGTTCATTATCTCCATATTTTTCTTGTTAAGTTCAAAAATATCTCTCGAGAAATAAAATAACAGCCCTTTCACAAACTAGACGAGTTTTTCATTAAATCTAGAAAAATTGAACTCGAAATATGTCTTGAGTGACTGATCATCAACAAAATATTTTCTTCGTATTCATCAATGAAATGTTTTCCCATTTATATGACAACTTAAATATATACATCTGATAACTCATTATAATAAAGTTTGAATCACACCCTGTCTTTTTAGATGTTTTATCGACTAATGACATCATGGCAAACTTAGAAGCAAGACTTAGACAAACTGGATGACCTTTGGACTTTTGCGAGAATCAAAGACTTTTACGGCTGACGGTTTACTTGACATTTAAAACTGTATCAACTATACTATGTCCTAAACATGCCAATTTGGAAGGTTTTATGAACATCTGTTTTATATCTTTACATATTTTATTAAACGTAAACGCTATTTGTGACTAAAAAGCAAAACTTAATAATAAACGTGATGTCTTCATCTTATCAATTAACCTTATTTTTATCTGTAAAAATATAAATTATCACATGCAAATGAACTCTCAATCCCAGAGTTATTTTGATACGCATGAACATGCTTTTCTAGAACGAGGCAAGTTATTGATAAAAGTATTTGATTTTTTATAATTTCAACAACGATGAAAAATTGATTTATGAATAAAAGTGACATCACAGTGTGAAAGGATATAAAAGTGATTTTCTGTCACAGTGGCAGAATATCAGAAGTGCACCAAATACTCATATTCAGAATCCTACATAGATCAATGGAATACATATAATATACGATAGAAATGTTAAAAGAGAGATAATTACGTCGATAGATGCTTTTGAAATTGAGAATTAAAATATTATTTTAAAATAGTATGACTTATTGCTGGAAGAAAGGTGATTCAAAAGAAGTAAGTATTTTGTGATGAAAATGACAATAAAGTATAATATTCATAAATAAAACTTGTATATTAGGAAATAGAAAAAAAATGCACTGTTCAATATGCAAAACCCTAAGATTTATTAGACTTTCCGTGAAATATAGTATTATCTGTAATGTTTGAACGCAAACCTAAACTTGGTTATTGTTTCTTATCTTACTGTTATCAATAAACATATAAATTTTCAAAATAGCGAATTCATGCACATGACTGCAAAACGAAATAAATTTGATGCCCATTGGACTCAATTCTCACATGATTATTTTTATTTCTCATTCAATGATCACCTTGATCACTTTGAAGTAGGCCAGAAGTAGGTAACACTTGTTTTTACAGGTTTTGTTAGAATTCATTTTTTAAAATCAAATCCATGCAAATTAGAAGTTGACATATATACAGTTCAAGGATACAAAATTGTAAATTCCGTTTTGTCGTTAATGCTTCCGGAAGCCGGTTGGTACCAGATAGAAAAATATAACTGTGTCGAGGACCGCCAAAAATTATCTGGTCTTATAATTTTCTGTCTGCCGCCAGAAGGTAACTAATGGTAACTTATGGCCACCAACTACACGTACATTTGGTTAGTTATGTTTGGCAGCTAAATACCGTATAAGTAGAATTTTTATTGAGGATTTAATTTTGGCATCATTAGCGAGGGTGCTGACATCGATAAAATTGAATATCGCTAAAAATTAATTGCGTATATTTTGGAATAGTTTCTTTAGTTAGCATTTTAAAATCGCTAAAATTACTTCTCGCTAAAAATAAAATACCAGATTTTAAGTAGAAATCGCATCTCGCTAAAATTTCCACTTATACGGGGCGGTAAGTATATGGCGGCCGCCAGATTAAATATTTTTCTTCCTGTCACTACCGGCTTCCGTATAAACTTACACTTATTACGCAATCAAATTCATCTATTACCCTTACTGTATACCTTAATACCGATAAATTAGAATGAACAATTACATCAAAAATTTTCAAAGATTTCCTATTTCATAGTAAAAAATTGTTCTTATCAACTTGAATATAAAATAATAGTGGCAATTAATTTACAAAGGTCTTTTAAGTTGGTACTAAGCGGTGATTGTAATTGACATTTGTCACCGGCGTTCCTCAGAGGTTAAACTGTCTGCTCTAGAATCGCGAAATAAAGAGTTGATTTTTACGTCGTGGGTTTGAATCCCACTGTGGCACGTAGATATCGGTCCTTCGGATGAGACCGTATAAACTTAGGTGCTGGCACGAAAAAATCCCTCACTGCTGGCCTACAGTGCCGAGTATAGGTCAAAATTTGCTGCTCTCCTTCAGCAAGTGGTGGTGTCTCCATATGAGGGAAATATTCTCGAAAGGTACGTTAAACAACACATCCACACCCACACTCTCACACACCCTCTTCCTCCTTCTCTCTCTCTTTCAATCAATCACACACACACAAACAATTTACATTTAAATAATAGATTATGACATACATTAATATGAATTTCATCCAGGTTTTTAACTTTCATGGGAAATAATTGATCTTACAATATTTTATCAAAATTTAGTTTATCAAACTGAAGTGGAAATCTTTTTTAAAAAATGACGAACAGCTACATGTACTTAATATTAGAATTCATTTATTCTTCCTAATTTCATTTTGAATTCATTTATTCAGCACGTTTTACTAAAATGTAAATGAAATTATTATCAACTGCTATGTGCTTACTGTGTCTACATAAAAAACAAGAATGCTTAAATGATTCCAATTTTTAAAAATAAATTTATCAATTGGATTAAGTATTTGTCTGGGATTGGTTTTTATTTGCCATCCCATACACAGACAACACTTATTAGAGAACCTATTCAAACACTTGAATTTAATTAACATACTTGAAACTTAATACTTATTTTTGCATTATTTTTAGTATTTTCAGGAAATATCTCATTAAGGATTTGACATCAGACAGGGAAAATACATATGGTCTGTATCATTCCTCTGAGGTTGTTTATTACAGAAAAACTCTATTTAATATAAAAGAGGTCAACCCATGGACAGAGTGCCGATTGTACAGAAATCATTATTTGTATGTTAAATGCATTACTTGATACAAATTAAATGGATTGATTTTCGTATTCCTTTCACATTTTGAGGATGCTAGCATTTGAACATTTAATGCATAATATGGTTATTTCAACTTTTCAATTGTTAACATCATTAAATATATAATAAGTAATGCATTTATATAATCTGTATAATTACGCTCTCTCTCTCTCTCTCTCTCTCTCTCTCTCTCTCGGCTAATTTGAAAGGCAAGATCAGCCTGTATTGTAAATCAAGGTTAAAAAAGAATAAAATTACATTTGATTTGTAAAAAGTAATATACGTATTTAACATATAAATAATGAATATTTTACATTACGGAATATTTCTTTATGAAATGTTTTAAAGTGAATATAGTTTTTCTGTAATAAACAACTTCAGAGGAATGATACAATTCAAATGTATTACTTTTCGTACGCAGTTCACATTTTGACAATGATAACATTTGAACATTAAATCTATAATATCATGGCTATAGATATACCTTTCTATACATTTTATCACAATTTTAAGTAAATAAAGCATGTGTAGAGCGCCGTATGAAATACATTTATTACTCTAAGACAATTAACAATAAATTTGTAAAGATGTAAATGCATTATATGCTAATCCAAAATTTAAAAAGAATAAAAATTACATAAAGATGCATAAAAAGAAAAAAAAGATACATAAAAAAGCTGCCGGCTGTTGGCATGGATACTTACCCCTCCATAGCACCTGATCCCACCTCTGACATTTCGGACATCCTTGTTTGCTCTGCTTCTATTTGCATTGTTTATTGGAATTTTGAACTTTAGTACAGTTCAATATCTCCATATATTTCATTCGTATATACAGCCTGTTTTTTCAAATTAGCAAATCAGAGAGAGAGAGAGAGAGAGAGAGAGAGAGAGAGAGAGAGAGAGAGAGCGTAATTATACAGATTATAGGAATGCATTACTTATTATATATTTAAGGATTTTAACAATAAAAAAAAGTTGAAATTATCATTTTTATCATGAAGTTTTATTGTTATGCTACCTTTTACGTTTTTGCTTAAGTAAAATACAAAAATATATTACGGATGTGTCAGACTCCACATATTAGATCTTCTATTTTGAGTTTACCAATTTAGATCGAGTTGACTTGAAACACATGGAAATAACGAACAGAATTCAAGATAAAATTTCTTTGACACTGATTATACTGTAAAATTACAAATTTTCGTGAGTAAAATTTCGTAGTTTGAGGTTAAAATGTAGGTAAATGGTAATTAATTTCGTAGATGGAGGATTGTTGAGTAGTAATATATGTGAAAAATAACATTTTATGGTGGACATAAATTCGTAAGTCTTTTCAAACCTCGAAAACTGCGAAAATTAACCCCACGAAAATTAGTTATTTCACAGTAAATCGATTGACTAGGATAGATCGACTCGAGAGAAGCGCAATAATTGTTGAATGATAATGCGTCATTGATATATTTAAATGTCGAGTTAAATGTCACACTAAATCTTTCTTTCTTCTTCTCATATGTTAGTTTTAAACTAAAATAAGGTTCTGTGACAGATTAATGTTTTTATGCATTATGCACATGTGCATAGCAATGCATATTGCATGTGCATCTATTCATCAATTTAATTATGCATATGTTTTTTATTTAAATTTTCAGCACACTTCTACAGCTGAATTATATAATTATTCATTTAACTGTAGTTAAGTGTATTGATTTTTAAATTATTCTTTTCCAGAGAGGTCCAGAATTAGTTTCAGTAAATATTCTGGCCATGGTATATTGTATCTTTTAGTTTCATTGGTTTTGTACTTTTTCTTGTGCTTTTCTATTGGTTTGAAAGTGTTTCCCAGCCAAGTTTTCTTTGTGTTTTTGGTTAATTCTGATATAGCAGTGGAAAGCTATGGTCATGTTTTGGTGATTGAGTTTATAAGTTTTATACATAAGACCTTTGGCATAGAGACCTACATTTCCTCTTGCATGGTAAGTAATTCTTTCATACTAATAAGTAATAAGATTCTAATTTTATTAAATGTGAAATCTGTAATTTTTGCACTAAATTCCAATTATTTTCTTTTAAATGTTTTATTAATTAAATATAACATGTGTTAATAGTAAATACATTGCTGTCTTACTTTTTTTGCTTTAAAGTAAACTTTATTTAATGATTAGTGTGCATAAATACAAAGTTAGTTATAAAAGTAACATGTATAGCTGTCTTGTGTAAAGTTAACATTTTCACCTTAGGTATGATGGTATGCAAAAATTGTTTTTATGCGTCAATAATTCATTATGTACATATTCATTGGAGAGATAATTAATACGTAAAGATTTTATTGTTAATATTGTTGATTAAAAATCTTTTATTGTGTAATTTTCATATAATTGCAGAATCTTCCTTAGCTCTCCGAAAAAAATATATATTATAATTATTGTACATGTATATTGAAAAAAGCTGTATATTTTTATGCGCAAAAAAATGATTTGTTATTTCATTTATTTTGATGTTTTTAAAACTGTCATTTCAAAATATCACTAACCGTGTGTTCATAACATATTCTTGTTGTTTCCACAACAAAACATTGCTTATAATTATTTTTACAAGCCCTACAGGTCCTAAAAATAAAAATTACAAATGTAAATTTCGCTATTTATACTGCCATTTTGGTTTGCAAGATCCATAATTCAGTCCAATGCGCTTGGTATTGTTAAATGTAAAACATTAGTAATTGATATATCAACTTCAGAAAATATTGAAATCTAGCTTGTGTTTGCAACTGAGGTAAGAATATTGCAAAAATTAACCAGAAACAAGTTTACTTTTTTGTTCGCAATAAAAATAGAGTTTTTTTCAATAGGTGGCACTCTGTAAGTCTCTTTTTCAATTTATATATATTCTTAGTCAAGAGTGAATTAAAGATACAACTTTAAATATATATAAATAAGAATTGTTCTATAAATTTTATGGGAGAGAGAATGAATTGTTAAGGTTCATGCGTTTTGAGAAACTAGAATTTCAGAGAATTGATTAAATTGAAAAAATATAATATTCACGGAATCAAATAGTGAGGTGAATACTGTCCACCCCAAGGCAAAATTATATTTTATGATTTATTTATTAAATGTTTACCCTTAGTAAAAGGGTGCATAGATAAAAATAGTTTTTTTTCATAATGATTTTTTTTATAATGACTTCTATCAATTGGGAATTTACAAAACTATGATAATTCCATATTGAAAAAAAGTAATCTTTATGTTCAACTGGAAGATACCCATACAAAAAGGAAGGATAATTAATAAACGACACACAAACATGTTTTATTTGGTTGATAAGGAAATTAAATTGAAAAGTTTGCTTGACAAAAATCTTTGACTTGCCTATGCCCTAAGAAAAAAAATTGTTCTACAAATTTATGGTGGTGGAAAATGAATATTACGGCCCATGCGTAGGAGAGAAACAAGCATTTCAGTGAATTTATCAATTTTAAAGAAAAAATATTAAGGAATGTGGTTGAACAGTGAGATGATTTTCCCTCCCAAATTCTGCATCTTACCAATTTCACCAGAAAATATAGCAGAAATATTTGGTGGAAAATCTTTATCAGATAATTTTTTTTAAATAAAGGAGGCTTCCAAAAATTTATATACTTCAGAAAAATAATGATTTCTAATTCAAAATAGCAAATATAAAAATTTTAAATTGGTTGAACAGTGAAGGAATATGATCATTTATAAAGTATGGCACAAACATGTTTTTGGGGGTAACTCTTGGTCAATCGAAAACTATCTATACATGCAACTTAGCTTAATCAATCTTTCACTTTCTATCATAGCAACAGTAATATTGAAAAAAAATATCAAAAAATATAGGACATTCTCTCAACATCATTACAGAATGATATATTGTATATGATCACAAAAATGAAAAAGACGAAGCTGGATGTTATGCATGACTGACACATATCATCTTATTAAAAAAACCAATACAGGAAAGGCTGTGCTTCAGTCTATCACTTGTAAGTTTCGATCAATATATGTTTTTCTTCACACCTGCTTGGATCAGAGTTATTCCGGATATTAATCTGACCCTCCATCGGAACATATTCATCTAGTTTTTCAGATTTGTTCATGTCAATATAACCACTAACATGTTTGGATGCTGCAAAAGGACCTGGAATAGCTAATAAATTGGGATCACGGTTAGTGCTAGCTTTTCTAAGTATTACAGGGGATACTGAAGCTCCCTGATTCGTGTCGTTAAGAACTGGTAGGTCTTCTCCCGGGGCATCTGTAGATTGAATTGCGGAAGACACCGGAGTTATATAACTATCTCTGTTTGTGGCAGTCATGGGTTTAGAGGGTAATGTAGAATATTTCGTTCTTTCCTTATCTGACGTCTTAATAAATTCATACTTTCCTGCGTCACTTTTTCTTTTATGCTCTGATCTGCTATTTGTTGGAAGTGAGGAATATCTTTTCATGTTCTCCTCGGACTGGTCAATAAGTTCATATTTTCCTATATCACTTCTTCTGCAGCCCTGTGACGTTGATGGAAGCCTTAAATCGTTTATTTCGCAGTAGGTATTAACATGGCCTCTACTGTTCTCTACAGAATCTCGTTTTTCAACTTTCACTTTCCTTTTTCCTCTTATCAGTACAATGATCACAATAATGAGCAGTAGTATGACTAATCCGCCGATGACAGACATGATTATGATGTTGAGTGAAATGTCTTCGGAATCTTCGTTGGACTTCTGTGCGTCTTTGATAATTTCTGAGTCCATTTTAATGTTGCCTGTTACAGAATACTCCGATCTGTTTCTTTCACTTCTCATACCGTTTGTCGATGACTGGACATCCTTTTCGTCTATGGTAGATTTAAAAGTCCTTGCTGTTGTCTCCACTTTCCTTGGTGATGAGGTGTGTGATGTCATTGCTTCATGACTTGTTATCAGTTCAGCTTTAGAAATATACAACATTAACGTTATATGTTATTATATCATATGCCATAATATATATTTAAAGCTGTTTTATGTAGATTATACATAAAAAGTAAAACTTATTTACAAGGAAATCTCATTTATAATGATTTATTTATTCATTCCTGAATATTAAAAAAATGTGTGCATTTAAAAAACAAATATTTACATTTGCAAATGTTTTCCTTTATATAACACTACTGAAAGCAACAAATCATATTCAGGTCATAGATGTGCGTTTGGATAAACAGGATTTCCTCATAAATACGTTTAATTTACTGTAAATATGAGGAAATATAAACCCTACTAGTTGTCATTTCTCTGCAACCAGTTGCCGGATCACAGGCCTCTTTGATACCTTATTTCTTAAATATTAATGTCCCCAGAACTTCCTTATAAATAAGTTTGATTTACTGTAAATATAATACCCTACCAGTTGTTATTTCTCTGCATCCAGTTGCCGGATCACACGCCTCTATAGAACAGTTACAGAATCCTCCAAGACATCGTCGTCCATACTTCGGGTAGTCAAACTGACAACTTGGTCCAAACTTTCCAGCTGGGCAATCTGAAAGAATAGTTGGGGAGAAAGCTAGCTTATAAACTGAGTATCCGACATCATCAAGATAAACAGAATTTTATATTCGTGTTCAACTTACCTACGCAAACTCCATTTCTGAGATAATAATCGGGACAACAATCTGTTGATGATGATGAATCTCCGGACCTAGTCAAAGCAAAAAGGTGTCAATATAGTTATAACTTCATAATAACATAAAAACATATTTAGTTGACAAGATTTTGATACTACCATACTGTTGGTATTTAATGCTTGTATTTTAATGTACATTTTTTTTTACACATATTAACACATATTAACATTTGCAATTGTTTTCCTTTATATAAATGTAAATACAAACATCTATCAGGATATACATGTAAATACGGATTTCTTTAAGTGACCTACAAGTATTTATACCCCGATAAATGTTTAAAATTATCCCTTGTTTCTTAAGGTAATTCCAGCCTCGTATGATGTCATAGGTTTTTGGAAAAAAAAACTGTTATTAATTCAAATTTATACCACATAGAACAAGGGCTTTTGGAAGAATGCCTACCAATAAGTCTGATGATAATTGATGTGAAGTAAAAGAATTTAAAAGATGTATATTTTCTTTATTAAGTCAACTATTCAATCTTTAAAAAATGTTCACAAGGGCAATAACTCCTTCAAAGGTATCTTTATTCTTTATTGTACATCTAATTATAAAATAGTTTTCATAATATTCAAAATTCAAAAGTTTCTTATAAGTAGCAAATATTTTAGATATATCAACACCAGAAAAATGCATTTGAACCGTTTTTTACATGATTATTTAAATACTGTATACAAAAATGCACATTTTTTAATGTTGACATATACTTCTGTTTATATATGTTTCCCATCTTAAATAATATGGCAACTTATACCTTTTTTGCAATACATGTAATTGGTATATTCAAACTATATTCAATGAAAGTAAATGCACTTTGAACCATTAAAATTATGAGGGTGGAAAGACCTCAATTCAATGCTTAAAACCTTTAATTTATACAAAACGTGAAAAGAAAACATTTAGATTTCTTATAAGTATTAAAGTCATCATTAGCCGTTTACTTACTTGCGACAACCTTCGAGAAATGTTGCTAAAGATATGATAATCAACGAGGAGAATTGCATTTTTTTCAATTCAAACAAATTATGCTCCCAGCTTGCTTCTTTAGGTTCAGACGAGGAAATAAATTATCTATTTAATGATGACGGAATCAAAATATACAACCACATCTATTGGGGTCAGCTGATCTCGCTTCCTGTTTCTTAATCTACATGTACTTAACTAATGACGAATCCTCTCCTTGTATATCTCTTCTATATATAGAGTCTTCTATTAGTGCGGACAATGGCTGGTTTTTTTTTTCAAACCAAAGGTTTAAAGACAAACTTTTTTTTCTCATCCTATTATTATTACATCAATAAAAACATTTTTTTTCTATTTCGACGTGTGTTTTTGAGTGACGCTTATTGAAAAAAAATGTTGATTTCGCATATGTCTCGGTAGATGGTGTGTCAGGAAGAGATCTCATTTAAAACCATTATTATACAGACTTATTGTTCAGTTCTATTTGGGGAAAAGATAACATGGTGAACTTACTCTCCGCACGTCCGAGTCAGCGGTGTATTGTACAGGAGCAGATAACTAATACAGCACAGGAAACTCGTGTCCATGGCTGTCAAGTATTAAGCTCGCTATCTACAAGTATGTTTGAATCATCAAGAAACTGGATGTTCATCATAGACTTTAACAAGCTAATAATTACGTAAAGATTTGAACCTTTATCATCTTTAACGATAGAGTAAAACATTTCAAAAAGTAATTTGAAAAGGTTGTTTTATTCTCGATTCAATATCTTAAAAACTTCGCAAAAAATGAATAATAAATTAAACACAATATTAATTAACTTAAATTCAGAAACTAAGCATTTCTGTTACTGTTTAAAACATTGTCCATACAAACCTTTGGATAAACCACAAACAATCACAAAGACAGTCACAAGGAAATTAAACTCACAAATTTCCTCGTGAGAAAAATCAAAATCCTAATCATTTGTGATTAAGTATATTAGTGTCAACTCGAACTAAAATAGTGAATTTAGAAAGAAGATGTAATATTCGTAGCCCGACACATCTGTAACATTTTTTTTTGTTAAGCAAAGTCGTAAATGGTAGCTTCACAAAAAAACTTCATGATAAACATGATTACTTCATTTCTTCTATTGTTGATTTGCAACGCAAAAGCAAGCTGTATATACGAATGAAATATTTAAGGAATGAAGCTTACTTCAACTTATGATTTGCAACGCAAAAGCAAGGTTTCACATTGTATTTTATAGACAAGCGTAAATACGTTTTTGAAATATATAGGCAAGTTATCACAAACGTGTTACAAGTAAAATTAAATTATATAGCGATCACAAACAGTATTCAAGAAGGATATGGAGATAACGAACAGTATTCAATAACAAAGTCCATAAAACAATACAAAATAGGAGCAGAGCAAACATATGGGCCTCCAACACATCAGAGGTGGGGTCAGGTGCGATGGAGGAGTGAGCATCCCCTGCTGACCGGTCACATCTGCCGTGTGCTCCTCGTCATGATAGAAAAATAACGAAAAAATCCGTCGTCAATTCGACGTATAAATAATGGACTAACTATTAGTATGAAAAACGTCACTCAGCATTTGACTCAATGATAAATTGTATTTGCTGACAAGGTCATTTCGACCATTGAATTTATGAAATGATGACTTTAAACATTTTTACAGTACGTGCAAGGACACATTCGCCACCGAAAATAATGTGTCCATGTGTAACTCGATCAGCACCTGGTGCTTTTCTGTATTTCAGCTTGCGAATGGTGTGTGTTAACTTGACGGTATTTTGGCCACCGGGAAAGTCGCCGCTATAAAGATCATATAACCTTTTAATGAATTTTCTTTTGAATTTGGCGATGGAAATCTTGATCAAATGATGAATCATTAGAAGGATTATACATATTTTGAAATATAGCACAGATACCTCTTTCTAAAAAAAACAACATGGGTCCTGTGACTCGGCCCTTACGCATTCGTCAGAATTTAATTCGAATTAGCTTCGCTTAGTGTTCAAACGGAGCTAATGTGAAATAATTTATCGCAGTAAATTCGAAGTATACTAATTCGCATTAAAATTTCCGTGTGAACGCGATTCAAATTTAATTCGCAGTAAGTTATTTAATTTGAATTAAACACTACGTGTGAACAATGCATTAGTCAAATGCTTAAAGACGTTTTCATACTAATTGCTATGTTATTAAATATTCACACACTGAATTGACGACAGATATTTACACTATTTCCTGATCATGACAAGGAACACACGGCGGGTGTAACTGATCGGTGGAGATGCTCATTCTTCCATGGCATCTGATCCTAGCTCCTATGTTTTGGAGGTTTGTTATTGCTATGCTCTTATTTTCTATTTATTAATGGACTTCAGATCTTCAAAAATGTTTGTTATCTCCATATATTTTATTATGAAATCTTTAAAATTGATTAATGAAAAGGAGCAGAGTGATAGATTTGCACAAAATGTGATGCATATTATCATTACAAAATAATGGATGTGCAAACATATTTGGTCATAGCTAAGCAGACCATTTGTTAAGTGAATTCATTTCTTTAAGAACTTTTTACCATAATTATGTTAATTTTATTAATGAAATAGAACAACTTTTAACATTCTGATAACAGAAAGAACAAAACAGAATGATCATGAGCTATTCAAATAATGTTTATGATGGGAAAGTACTTTAATTTTACATAAATGTTTATATAAGACTTTTACTCGTAGACGTTTCAGTATTTGTTTCCAAACGTACTCTCTTTATTGTGAAATATTTTTGCTGAGCGATAAATTCCTAGCTTCATTTTCAGCGCACATGGAAACATATTCTTCTTTTTTGGTTCCCTTATCCATATCAATATAACCGCTCACTTGTCCCGAGGTTTTACCAAATCTTTTCTGGGTAGTTTTTAAGTGTGATTTGTCATTTCTCATCTCAACTTTTAGGTTATCTTCTGCATTGCCATCCGATAACTCCTGTACTGGCACGTTTGACATTGTTTTGCTATCCCTCGTGTTGGATTTCCGATCATCTTCTCCACTTCTCAGTATCTCCAGCATTGAGACATTTGAGATCGTTTTACTGCCATGTTTAGCGATATTTTCTCTAGAGGGAAGGGCTGTATACTTAGTAGCATCTTTTTTAGAGTGATCGATGACTTCATACTCCTCTGCTTCGTCTTCCTTATCGTTGTCCACATCGTCTATTACATCATCATCGTCTATTTCGCAGTACGTATCTACGTGTCGGTGGCTTGTCACCTTAGAATTTCGTCTTAATGACTTTTTCTCTAGTCGTATCGTAATTTTCCCCTTTAATTGGACTACTATAACAGCAATAAGAAAGCCTATGACGAGAACACCAATCACTGAAATAACGGCCATAACTGTGGAACTAGACTCTTCCTTATCTTTGCTCGTGTCTTTTATCTCCACTTGGCTCGTTAGATTTTTGTTGTTATTTCGTAGATTATATTCAAATGTAGAGTTTGTTATGGATGGCGATGATAGAAGAATAGAAAGGGTATTGGATTTAGGAATGATCGAATCTAAAAAAAAATATAAACGCGATTTCAATATACACTTTAACTTCAGGAAGCTCTAAACACTAACAGAAACTGTTTTTTGGATTCATCTGGATATATAAATATATATATATATAATAGTATATATATATATATATATATATATATATATATTAGAATATATATATATATATATATATATATATATATATAATAAATATATATAAGACAATGGGCTATTTGTGAGCAGAAATAACTGTTGTTTTTTACTTACATTGGGAAAATCAATGAGAATAATTAATTACATTTCTTATTCTTAGTCTTATATAATGCCAAAAATATTCTAATCTGTTACACAAATCATGTGATTAACTGTAAATAACAATTTCTTTAATCTTACATCTGAGGGCAGATCACTCTAACTGCTAGCTGCAATAATGTAGCCCTCTCCTTTTTTTTTTTTTTTTTTTTTTTTGGGGGTGGGCTACAACTCCTTAGGATCTCCGTAATGGTGCAGAGCGGGAGTGATTCGCTCCCGCACGGATTTCGGCTTAAATTGTTAGTAAACGGCTATTTTACGAGGGTCATTCAAAAAGTTCGTAGACTTTTGTCATAACTTCTTTATTTAACGTCATATAATAACCAAATTTAGTACAGATATTCTAACAATGAATTCGAACAAATTGAACAAAAAATTGGAAAATATCTTGATAATTTACAAAATTATCAAAGATTTAAGACGGCAAAAATGGGGTCACGGAGCAGGGTCAAAATTTAGCTATTTACTAATCATACACTTTATAATGTCTAGAGTCAAACCTCTGATAAATGGCACTTAAACGAAATAAAATTGAAATGTTTAAATTTAGTTTTGTTCTAATATTACTTCAGATGCTAAAATGTAATGCAATACATAGCTTCGTTTGAAAGATATCAATTTCTAAATACAGATATACTTCATGAAAAAAGCAAAAAACCATGACGTCGAAGGACGTCACGGAGCAGCGATTAGCGATAAAATTTTGTTTTACATTCGGGAAACCTTTAAAACAAACTCTGTGAATGCTTGATGAACCAGAAAATAGTTACAAAATGTGCTATGCATTTGTTTATAATGGAAATGACTATTCTATGAGTCTAAGAGACTTCGGAGAAATTGAGAACATGAACGGTCTTCGAAGAAACAAATTATAGTAATAAATCTTGTCAAAAAAATGGTAACGTCATGAAACGTGATGTGCGATTCACTATTCTGGAGCTTGTGCAATCAAGAGTTACGCCATAAAGAATTTTAAAACGGTGACATTCAAACTTAATGTACTCAAATAATTGTTAGCGAACTAAGTGTCAAGGCCTATGGATACGAATTCATGTATTGGGAAGAAAATACAAACCGTGTATAAAATGAAAAGGCAGAGTAATTTTGAGAAACTTTCTCGTCGTTGTTTTTGACCTCACAGCGTTATTAACCGTGCTCCGTGGTAACAAAACGTGTTGCTTTTAAAACTGTCTAACACGAGTTCCATTTAATGAAATCGAATGAAACTTTACACACTGACAAAATAAATGTTTTTACATATAAAAATGTATAAATCTGAAATTTTGTAAGAATAATATGATGATGGTGGGCATTGTCTACGTATTTTTTGAATGACCCTCGTATTTATATGTCTTACCTGGACTTCCAAAATGTAGTTATCCCAGACATAAATCGATCCAAAAATATACAGAACAATCCATATATCAGTATTTTTCGTGTATGTCAACATCACAACTTAAATTTATCCGCCATGTTTACTGACCTTGACAGATTTTATTTCGGGACAGCCAATGAGATTAAGGATCTATAGGGAGCGAATTTCTTTGGAATTACCTTATTTTAAGCTTAAATATCGGTGTTTACAAAAAAATGAAACATGGAATGATTTTATTTATCGATGTTTAGTGTTACTATTCATCACAATTATTTATAAACCTCGACATTTGCTTTATTGAGTTGTTCTAAATTTCAAGCGCAAGTCTCACTACGTCACGCGTGAACTGTCATGGCTGCTGAAGTAAATGCACAGATTTATTTTACATGGTTTTCGCGTTTAACGAGCTTTAATGTCGACAGTGAATAAAAATTTCGTCTTATTAGAAGTAAGTTGATTGTGGAAACAATTTATTCTGCCTGCAGTCGCCAGTATTTACAAAATATTTTTGCACCATTACGGAGATGTGTGGAATTGTAGCCCTCTCCAGAAAATAACAGATTAAAAAAATCGGAGAGGGCTACATTATTGCAGCTATCTAACTGCATTAAACTACCCTATAAATAGAGCTCTTTAGTATGTAGTGTTTAGAGCGTCCTTAATTTTTTTTAATATTCAAAAATGTAATATGTTATTTTTTTCACATTGATAAAAGATATTTATAATTCAAAAACACAACACTCACGATCCTTGCAGCCTTCTGCGGGATCACAGTTTTCTTTTGGACACTGACATTTCCCATCAAGACATCGACGTCCGTAATCAGGGTAGGTACAGATGTACTTACAGTCTGGTCCAAAGGTCCCGGATGGACATGCTGGAAGCAGATATAAGGATCAACGTACAATGCATAAATACTGCTCTTTATATCTATATATTATACGTTACCTCCATATATGTTATGAAATTCAAGACGTTGTTTGAAAAAGATGACTGAATTACACATCCTGAGGATAGGTTAACGGAATTGTTGTACTTAATTTCTCAATAAATATATTAAACTTACGGACACATTTTCCATCTAGAACATGATAGTCGGCACAACATGATGTTGCTTCACCGGTTCTACAAATATTGTACATATATAACAAACTGAACAAAAGTCAGAATCACAATTCAAAGTAAAAGGATTCTACTAAAGCATTGATTACTCTATCACTTTTTGTTACATTTTACAACTACATAAGCACCTTTGGTGGATTGGCCTGTTTTAAAAATATTTATGATAAAAAAAGATCTTACTTTAAGCAATTCTCCGTCGCTGATGAGTGAAAAAGAATAACAATAACTATAATTCTTAAACTATTATTCAAAATGTGATGGACCATACTTGGTTTATGTGAGTATTCCGCCATATATATGATTGTGATGATTTCGTTTGAAGTTTAATTAAGGAAGTTATTATGCAAAAAAGCTTTTGAATTTCTGATTAAAACACTCCTCATTTAGCGCATGAATAACATGAATAACGTAATCCAAAAAGGACAACTCCTAAACAAAGTATTTTCCGTGATATTTTATTTTATCGGTATCTATGTTCCAGATGCTCCTCTCCCCGAATGGATGTTTCAGCCCTCATTTCTGGATTGATTTGATTGTTACCATTCAAAACATCTCAAGTAACAAACATTGAAATCATTGTGTAAATGAAAAAAATAAGCATTCAGGATACACATAATTATATGCATAGATTCCTTGTACAACAGTCGGTATATCGCTTGCTCAGTGATCAGAAGGTCAAAGTTTTAACCTCTGGCCGAGAGAACCGAATGGGTAACAACTGTTCCTTTACCAATCGCTCGGTAATCTGAAATAAAAATTGAGAGTTGTTCGGATGATACCTTTAATTACTCGCCCCCGTACGTATAACAGCAGGCGTCGGCAAGATCTCTCACTTTTCAATGTCCTTTAAATTTATAGGTGAGGTCCTTCACTGGCATACTATAACGTGTCATATGAGCTGAATTATCTTTCAAGGGATTATCAACTAAAATCAACGAATAATAAACAATTAAATATTTTACTGATTTTGAGAATGCATGTCTCATAAATTACCTATCAGTGTATTGCAAAGTTGCTTTTGTTTCATTTAAATTAATTCATGGGTGTACAAAAAAATTAAACACAATGCATGAAATAAAACAGTACTCAATCCAAATAGTTAATACAAATCAGGAGGAGAGCAAACCTCAAAAACATCAGAGATTTGATCAGGTGCCATGGAGGAGTGAGCATCCCTTGCCGACTGGCCACACCAGCTTGTCGTGAAATAAAATCAAATATAGAAAAAATTCTGTCGACAATTCGTTTTTTAAATATTGGTCGTACAATTAAATGTAGTACGAAAAATCACAATCAACATTTGACTTTACTGACATGGTAATTGCATCGACCCCAGAGCTTACTGATTAATTACATGTATTTTAAACGAGACTGCTGATGTTTTGGATTCAGATCAGCTTGTTTAATTTCAATATCTTACCTCGTTTTAAGAATTCTGCATACGTAGAGCATCATTTTTGCATATTGAATCAACCGAGGGATATAAACCGTTATACATGTGATCAGGGTATTTTACAGCATAAGTTAGGAAGTTGACAATGAAAAGTTTTTCTTCATGTTTATCAAAATGCTTTGTTGTTTGATCACCATTAAAGCTTTTTTTTCTAGTAAATATCCAAATATGAAACAGATGTACCAGACTCTGTGATATCTCTTTTTTCGAGCTAAACGGGATATATCGAATGGAAATGGCCATTGTTAGTTGTCCGTACGTCGTCGATATATATTCATTTTGAGTTGAAGCGTTGAAGCCAGTGTTTTCTTCTTTTCTAATAAAATATTTTGAATAAATTTTGTTTAATATGACTATTTAGCAGCATATCTGGCGACCGTGGCGACCACCAGTTAATCATGTGGCAGCAAACATAATTAACTAGCGGTTGCCGAAGAAGTTCTTGTGGTATGTGACACTTTGAAAAAATACGCACTTTGAAAAAAATTCAAAGTGTGTTAAAAATGGGACAAAATCAACGCACCTAAAAAAATCAAAGTCAGTTAACACTTTGAAAACAAAAATTCAAAGTGCGTTAAGAGTGTACATAAACATTTTTTACCATGGGGACATTTAAGGCACTTTAAAAAATATGTAGAAACAAAACTTCTAGACTTAGGTTTTAGTAATTAAGAGAATCAATTTGTAATACTTATATCTTTCGAAAAAACATTTTAATTTACATGTATTGATTTAACCTCATTGCAAGGAGAAGACGAGTAGAATTTCTCTCAGCCCAACTCTTCTTTCTTATACATAGCCTTCGGTAGAAAATTGAAAGGGGACCTTCCCCCAAAGTAATCCCAAATTTTCAATGCCTATATTATGTTTATCTTTGTAAAACATTTGTTTGCCGAAGCTCCCCCCCCCCGGTACCGATGCCTATGCTACACCCAAATACATGCATTTGCATAAATGGTATGACAATGAAGACGTTCAATAAATTTTAGTTTACATAAAATGCATGCAAACTGAAAAAAATTAAGAACAGTAAAACATATAAGAGAGAAAGAATGGAAAAATCAAAATCGCTCAATTTCACATCCTGCGTGGTGACCTTATCACCGAAAAGTTATCCAACAGGTTCAATTCTCTGTCATACCTGAGATTTTTAAGAATGTTGACCAAGCCATGCACCGGTGCGATAATATGGTCGATATTAACACTCTTTTATAGAAATTTTTATTTTTTCAAAGTGCGTTGATTTGGTCCCAAATTTAATGCACTTTGAAAAAAATTTTCAATTTGCTAGTTATGTTCCAAAAATGAAATTGGTGTTGAATTTCACTATTTTCATTTCATTGTTATGATCCATTGTTATGATCCATTGTTATGATCCATTTCTTCTACTTGGCACCTAACGGCTTCTGTACAACAGAAATCACTGGACTTGAGAAGTTACTCTGTAACAAGTTTATTGTCAATTACGAATTATTTATTTCAAAATAGTTACACTTGTCTATCGATACGTTATCATTAGTGGTTTAATTAATAATGTGAGTAAATGGCTTTAAGAAATTCCTTCTCTTCTTGATTGCAAACTATATCTTTTCTTTTTATTCTCCTTGGAGCCAAATTGAAATATCTTTATATTTGGTCTTTACGTAGTGAACACAGTAAAACTCTCGTTCTGTTAATTTCCTTAACATTGAATGCAGTATACGATTCAACGTGTACGTGCATCAAAGTGTAATCTTAATAATTATGCATTGAGTTTTTTTCTTAAATTGCTAGATCGTCAGAAAAAAAATTATATCATCGATACTTTCTTGAAGTATATTTCAGTTATTTTCTTCCTGTTTAGTTCTCATTTTGATCCAATAATATTTTTTCTGTGCGGTCGACAATGAATGCTTACTCCATATGGCATGCAATCCAACTTTGAGTTTGTAGGAGTCCGTGTTTAAATTGATATTTCATTTAAAAAATAAATTGAAAGAAAACGCTTTTATTACTGACTCATACAAAACACAACAGAAACACTTAAAATACAACTTCAAAGTTTTCAAACAATAACAGAAACATTCAGAAGACAACTTCAGAATTTTTATATATTTTGTGGATAACTAAACATTCATCACTATAATGTGAAAAAAAGATAGTTTGTCCATTTTGTACAACATAAATTCAAATATTACGCGTGACATTTTACAGCGGAAATCTCATTTAAAGTATAAATTTTTCCTTGTAGCCAGTTTTTATTATACAACATCTTTAGTAGACGTATCTTTTCCCGTGTTTTCGGCTGCCATGGGAACATAGTCCTCCTCTTGTCTCTCTTTATTCATGTCAATATATCCGCTGACTTGGGCAGAGGTTTTCCCCATTCTCTTTGGTGGGTTTTGAGTATTGCTTTTGTCTTTTCTCATTTCCACCTCTGTATCGGCATTATCATCATCCTCAAGTATCTTCTGCATTGAAACCGTGGACATCACCGCTCTCTCCTCTTTCGACAAACCTGGCCTTGGCGGAAGTGGTGTATACTTTGCCCCATCTTTTTTTGATTGATCGATAAGTTCGTAAATTTCAGATTCATTCAGTGTTTTACATTTGTCCTCCGTCTCTTCGCCTTCGTCTATTTCACAGTAAGTATCTACATGTCGTTGACTTGTCGCATGAGAGCCTCGGTTTGATGGTTTCTGAGTTCGCAGTTTGATTTTACCTTTCA